TATGTTGATCTTTAATCATGTTAGAACACTGCATATTTCCCTTCAATTATACACGTCAACCAAAATGCACTTTTTGCCATTTATCTGAGGTAAGTTTGTAACAAAGAAAATTAGCACATTATCCAGAATTATGCAAACCCATTATATGGTATTAATTGAAGCCTCAAAAGTAAAACAGGAACAGCAGTATATTAGTGTATCAACAGCTAAATTATCCAAATTCAAAAGCTTTAATTAGCTTCCATGTTTCTCTTGTATCCAAACATATAGATCCTTGTCTCAAGGCAGGAGTATCTAAAAAAAACATTAGGCTATATCAATTATGTAATAAAGTACATGGATTTTAGTTACCTTTAAGACAAGCTCGTCATAGCATTGTTCTACATTCACTCAAGTTTTTGCATTGTACTCTATAAAGAGGCATCCATATTATTGACCCAACCCTTCCTTTTGGAAATCCGTTTCACTTTCCTGTGAAAGATCACTGATGATTAAATCCCATGCATAAAACAACACTCAAGAATTATTATCCATAACATCAAATAGGTCTATGAGAAAGTTTCAGATGAACTTGAAATTAAATTGCTAACTGGAGCAAAATGAGACTCAGATACAAACATTGGTCAATCAAACTAGAGGGAAAAAATTCACTACTACTTGAATCATATACATTATCAACTTTGTTTCTAACAGGCATCTTAATAGATTTGCAATTGTTTCCCACTGTGCAACATCATATAATATCCCAATACCACAAATTAAAAATACTGCATCAGAATAAATTAACAGCCTCTAAGCACGATTAGCAAGTCCTCATATTTCTCCCCCCCTTCCCCCCACCAAAAAAAAAAGAAGAAAAAGAAATGCATTGATATAATAAAAACAGCAAGAGAGTATTCAAATGTAACCAACTAAAAAGTCGCCTTAAAAAATCGAGTCAATCTGTCCATGGCCAGCTTTAAGGGCACACATGGAGACCATAGAATTCGAAACAAGGTGTCAAATAAGAGGCAGGGAAGCAAGGACTGAAAATGAATGGAAAAACCAAAACAATTAAGAAAAAGGACAAAGAAAGTTCTCAAGCTCTTGCATCTTATACTGCATCAAACCACAAATAAAATATTGCATTAACAAAACAGTCTTTAAGCACAATTAGCAAGTACCTAGCAAGAGTACTGAAACTACTGAAATCTGGTCAATCATTTCATCACCAAAGTAGACACCTTTAAGAGCAAATATGGAGACCACTGAAGCAAGGAATCAAATATGAGGTAGGGCAGCAAGGGCTAGAAATGAACTGCAAAACTATAACAAACTAACAATTAAGGAGAACTTAAAAGGGAGAAAGAAAGCTCTAAAACTTCCCTCTGTAGTTGTCTCAATACACATGCAACTGTCGCAACATGATTTTTGCTAAATCCCCCAAGGTAAACAGAAGATGGCACACAACAGGTAATGCATGATTCATGGTTACACTATTAAATTTTTAAATAAGTGAACCTAATGTTGATGGAAAAAAGAAGGCAAATACAGTTTAATGTTGATGATGCACAAATAAAAAAAAAAAACAAAAAAAAAAAAGTCAAAAAGAGAAGAGGAGGGTACTCCGACCTGAATGCTAGTCCTTCTTGGGCAATTTTGAGAAGATAAAATAACAGAGCGTGCCACTATTGTTGATGAAAGTAAGTCTTGGTTGTTGTTGATTATGATAATGTTGTTGAATGAAATTTGAGAAGAGATACGCAAATGCAATAAATTGAAATACATATTACAAGAAAAGCAAATACAGTTTCAAGTCATTTTCCCACATGGTTTCAAAGACAACATTACACAGATAATAAAGAAACAAACATTTCTAGTTTTTCACTTACAATTTGACATATTTAAACACATAGTACAGACATAGAAAAAGAAAAATGAAGAATAGCAAGTTTATATTAAATTGAAAACACAATAGCAACAACAACAACAACAAATGCAAATGTGATTTCCTTTGACTTTCTTGTGGTTACAAAGCTGAATTCCAATTTTGTTGCCAATGAGAGAGAGATTTATTAAGTAGAAAGAATGGAAAAAGGAAGCATAAAGATGAAAACTCTTATTGAGTTGAATTAGATAGGGAAAATTGAAGATTAAAAGGCTTACATTTGTAGTGCCTCCTACCCTACCACCAATCAATTTGCCTAGGATCACCAATAAATCTGCCGAAATTCACAGAAGGGTCAAAGGTTGTCTTTTGCATTGGGATGGTCCCATGCCAATGATTCCCACCATTCTTTTGGGTATACCCTAATTTTTTTGAGAGAAGGAGGATGAGATGATTGGGCATTATCAAGCAAGTGAAAATTCAAAGGAATCCTTTTTAGCTTTTCACACTTGTAAATTATCAGACTCTAGATGGAATCACAAATCAACACACTAGAGCAGCTACAGATGCTCTTCAATTTATGCAATTCAATCAATTTCAAGCTTTGTAACTGGGGTAGAGTGACTTTTTCTTCTTCATGTGCTGATGACGATATCAACTCCTCCATTTTTAGACAACTTTCAACCTTATTAGTCTCTAGAGATTGGAAGTAGCGGAGCAGCCATCCAGATGAGAATACCTTCTTCAATTGATGACAGTGAAGAACCTCGATTTCTTTAAGAGGGAAAAAGCTTGTGGGAGGTACAAGTGGTGATAAACCAAGACTTTCTTCATCAAACACACATTTCAAACTCTGTAATTCAAAGAGGCATAGATATTCCATATTTGGAAGTGGGTTAAACCCTGACCAAAAAACACTCTCTATATTTTTACAATTGAAAATTTTAATTTTCTTGATGGAATCACAAATCAAAGAACCGCTATAGATGCTCTTCAATTGGGGCAAAGAGCCCAATCTCAAGCTTTCTAAGTTGGGTAGAGTGACTTTTTCTCCTTCAGATTCAGACCCTATTATCTCCTCCAGTTGCCAACAATAAGTAACCTCAATAGTTTGTAGTTTTTGGAGATATCCCAACCACCTAACTGAGAATAACATCTTTATTTTATCACATTCAATAACACTAATATATTGAAGAGAGGAAAATGTGCCAGCTGGTAGCGGTGCTAACTCAGCAATTGTTCCTACTTCCCCAAACACCATATTCAAGTTATCCAAATAATCAAGTTCCAGCTTCTCAAGGTTTTGAAGCTTCCCCCAAATTCCAATCGTCTCCCATTTATATTCTGTTTCGGCATCGGGGTATAAGCATTTACTAGTAAATGCTGAAGTTTGGAGAGATTTTGTAGCTGTTCATCAAGTGTTTCAGATAATCTTCCACCAAGACTAAGATATTTTAGATTTGTTAGCATGTTAAGGCCTTGGGGTAGTTCTTCAATTGATGTCCAGGAAAGGTCCAACTTTTTTAAGCCTACAAGGTTGGATAAAGACAGTACCTCTTCTAAGAAGCCACAATTCCCCAGCAATAATGTAGTAAGCTTCTCCAATTTGGAAACAGAACTTGGCAACCTACTTAGCTCAAGATTGTGGGAAAGATCAAGAATCTTGAGCCCAAGCATATGCTCAAAAAAAGCTTCTGGAATGGTTGAAATATTGTTATTGGATAATAGCAAGGTTGTGAGCATAAGACACTTTAGAGAAGGCATGCTTGACAGAATTTCTTTTATGTGATTCCTCATTAAAGAAACTTTCAAACAATCTCTCCATTCATCCTCTTCTGGTAGCTTTTCCAAGGCAATGCCAGCTTTCACAAAAAATTGACTGACTTCCAGTGCCATTTCTCGGAGAAGATCATGCATACTCACACGTTCTTGTTTGTCTATATTTTTAACCGATTGCAACAAGCAGTTGTCAACTAGCTTATCGAGTATATCATGACCTTTCCAATTCATTGCCTCCCTAGTTTTCCCTTCTTTATATAAAAGCCCCTCCTCAATCCAATACTCAATTAACTCCTCCTTTAGGATTTCATGATCTTCAGGATACAATGCACAATATAAAAAACACTGTTGGCATTGTGGTTCTAGGCATTCATAACTGAATTTCAAACAATCAATAATACTTTCAAATTTACTAAATTCAAAAAGTGCCAACTTCCAATGACGAGGAAGTAATTTCCCTCTCATTGATTTTGCCATTGTCACAATAGCAAAGGGTACTCCATCACATTTCTACGAAATTTGCTTCACAAATGGCTCTATATCTCTTTTAATTTTGCCATCTGAAAACACATCACTTCCAACTTTCTCCTAGAATAATGTTGATGCTTCATTAGTTGGAAGAGGATTCACCATGATCACCTCACACTCCATTCCTTTTCTGAAACTTGAAAATATCAAACTTCATTTTTTGCTGGACAATAATGTCAAAGTCTCTTGATGCTTTTACCCAAATAATTTTGTTAAATTAGGATGCTTTCAATAGTTGGTTGTGGACCTGCTTCACAATTGTTGTCTTGCCCACACCGCCCATTCCTGAAATTGCAATTCTTGTAACCTCATCTCCCTTCAACCATTCTAGAATTTGATCTTGTATATCATCCTTGCCCCTGCATTCTTCAACGAGTAGTGGAACTCCTTTGATTGAGTGATCATCTATGACCAAACTTACACCAGCATTAGTAAATTCCTTTCCTTCCTCAAGTATTTGCTTCAATTCTTCAATGTTTTTCTTGAGGTTGGTTGATGAGGAACATTCCCCTTGGTTGATCAGACCTTCAACCTTTATGCCAATCTGTTGGCTTGCTTTCTCTAGCCACTCTTCAACTTCCTTCCTTGCAATCTTTCTAAGTTGCATACATTGAGTCTTCAAATTTGCTTCAATGTCTTCCTTTTGGTGCTTCAGCCTTTCCTGCTTTTCTTCAAATGCAGTTGCCCAATACTCAATTGAGGGAGTGTCTAGGACCAAACTCTCACCAGTACTAGTGTATTTTTCTCCTTGCTTAAATATTCCTTCAGTCAGTGATTGAGTCCTTTTATTAAGCTTTCTTGAGGAGCAAATATATGTGAAACAGCCCCCTTTGCAGATTAGATCTTCAACCACTTTTTCTGCAGTTTCTTGGTCTGTTTTCTCTAGCCAAGCTTCAACTTCCTCCTTTGCAATCTTCCCAGGCTACATAAGCTAAGCATGCAGTCCTTTTTGAACGTCTTGCTGTCGGTGCTTCAGCTGTGTTTGCATTTCTTTGGATTCATTGACATAATTATTGTGACATATATGCTACTTGACATATTTCTTAACTGTAGGTACAACATCCTTCACAATATCCGTGATTGGTCCTATGGCGTCCATTAGAGAGTTCTTGCATTTATGAATTAAAAGGTTTAATACCCTTTTTGGTCTCTCTACTATAGGAAAAAGCTTTTTTTGGTCCTTGTACCGAAAAAATCCCCTTTTTGGTCCTTACTGTTCACAAATCCGACCCCTTTCTAATCCTTTTGTTAAATTTTGGCTGATATGGCAAGTTAATTAACGAAAACACTCATTCCTTTTTTTTTTTTAACTAAATTACGTGGAATCCACGTGGCAAAAATTGATGACATGTTAAATTTTTTACCTTTAATTACTAATATACCCTCATCTTCTTCCCTGGCTTCTCCTTCCTCTAGCCTTTTTTTTTTTCTTTTTTTTTCTTTTACCTCCAGGCGAACCCAAGAGCCTGGGTTCGCGAGGAACCTATCTTGCACATTCGCGACGAACTCAGGTCTTGGGTTCACGACATTCGTGAAATCTCTAGGGCTTTCCTAGCGACATTTAGTGCTTATGATTTGAAAAATGTTCAAGTATCATTAAAACCACCAGTCAAGGTGTTAAATGAACTGAAAAACTAAGCAAAGAAAGGGATTTTTACAATTCCATTAAAAGATAGATTTTGCTGGATCAAATCAACACATTTTCAACAAACTGTTATACTTACACTGACTAGTAAAGTGTTATAAAAAAATAATAATAATAAAAAACATACACACCTCTTTCTGTTAGATGATTCTAGAGGACGCTCGAGAACTACTTCACTCACAAAGTCTGAAAGATTAGAATCAGCTAAATTCCCACCAATAATGGACTGAAACTACACAAGAAAGAAATTTTCATATTAAATTTGTCACAAAATTAGAATTCATAAAAAATAAACTAGTAAACCACATTCAATCCCCAAGCGTTTTCTGGATACAACCAACGGAAAGACTACTTCAAAAGTGAATGGTTCTAATGGTCTAAAAAGACAGGTAGTGAATTTGGGAAGTAACCAGTACAATTTCAAAAATTATCAGCTCAAAAAGCATCACCTCACTCATGCAAGTAACAATTCAAATGTAGCACTAAAATGACAAAACGAGAACATAATTGCTCGAAAATCTAGATAATGCTTATCAATAATTGAACAGAATCAAGTAATCAACTTACTTGCACTAGATGGACTTCAATTGCAGGCCTATTGGCAGGATCATGAGCCAAATGCAGTAATCTCTTGTGCATTAGAACATCTTCTACCCTCTCTATATTCACATCCAATGCATATCTGCAAATGCAAAACACAATCACTGGAAATCACAATATAACTACAAAGAAGAAAAAAAAAATGAAAAAAAACAGAAGATTAAAAGAAATTCCAAAAACGATGAAGAAATCTCACCGAATCTGTTACATTTAACTTGATTTCACAAAGAAGATAAAAAAACAAAACTATAGTGGCTAGGAAAGCCCCGCAGATTTCACGGACGGAGGAAACCCAGCGAGTTGGGTTCCTCGCGAACCTGGCAAGTTGGGTTCCTCGCGAACCCCACGAGCTGGGTTCCTTGCGAACCTCGCGAGTTGGGTTCTTCGCGAACCCAAGCTCTTAGGTTCGCCTGGAGGTAAAAGAAAAAAAAGGAAAAAAAGGCTGGAGGAAGGAGAAGCCGGGGAAGAAGATGAGGGTATATCAGTAATTAAAGGTAAAAAATTTAGCATGTCATCAATTTTTGCCATGTGGATTTTCTACGTAATTTAGTAAAAAAAAAGGAATGAGTGTTTCCATTAACTAACCTATCACATCAGCCAAAATTTAACAGAAGAACTAAAAAAAGGCTAAATTTGTAAACAGTAGGGACCAAAAAAGAGATTTTTTCGGTAGAGGGACCAAAAAGAGTATTAACCTTTTTTAAATGATGTGGGGCAAATAAATGATCCTTATTTCAATAGTGGAATTTGTGAAGTTTAGCTGCTAAGGTAAGATTGTTAAAGGTAAAATGTCTAAATTTACTCTAAAGTTATGCAATAGAGATAAATTTATTCTCAAATTAAAAAAGCGAATCACCCCTACAATCCTTTTCAATTAGATAAATGACTTAAAATTTAACCCATAACGCAACGTCACTGTAAGCAGTATGCTAACTCCAAACTTAGCTGCCTAATTTATGCATGCTGAACACATACAGTGGTCCCCTTTGCACCACCGTGGCACTTTCTCCTCTTTTTTCATCTCCATATTATTTGGGCCCTACTAGACCTGACAAAAATACACCAAACTTGTCAACTCGACTCTAATCCGACCCGTAAAAACGGGTTATGGTTTACATATCCCAACCTGCAACCCGTAGATAACCCATATTATCAACTCGTACAGGTCACGGGTCGAGTTAGGGTCAACTCGTGAGTTGACGGGTTGACCTATTTGTTTTATTTTTTATTATTATTTTTAAATATTATATTATTATTCTTAATTAATTTTCTTATTATTAACTCTTTTCATTAATTTATACTCCCTAATTTTTAGAGAAAGACGAAGAAATTATGATGAGTTTGATCTAATTATCTAAGTATCTTTTTTTTTTTTTTGGTATTAACAATTACCCAAGTATCATGAATGAAATAATAATGCAACTAAAAATATTAAAAGATATGATTTTAGGACATAAACATAATAACTTAGTGAAAGATGTTCTTGGAAGAGCAATTTTATCATTAAAAAAATGATTTAAATTACTTGATAATGTTTCAAGATGATTATAAAATTAAAACTTTATTTTCCAAGAAATTTAAATATTTATGTTTAATATTGTTATTGTTCATTAACTTATTATTATTTATAACTTTATGATTTTTTTTCTTAATTTAATTGTTTGTGGTTGAGACTATAAAGTACTTAGTTTTAATGAATTACAATATTTTAATTA